TTCTCTATATGATTCAATTGAATATGATTTGGAACATACTTCCTAAGTCATATTCGTATGCTTTGGCCAAAGACTCCCGAATCATATCTTAGAGTATTCTCCTTCCACCATGGAAAGTTAGAGATCCCTTGTTGTGCATTCATATGCCTACATGACTAGATAGCTTGACCCCAACAATGCCGTGGACACTCTCAATGGAATGCCTTTGACATGATCAAAGATCAAGGACCTAACCATTAGACATCTATGATGCCTCAGGTCAAATGACTACTTTGCATATTGCAACTAACGAGTTCTTACATGACATGTATGTTCGAACTCTCTTTTGATCGTTGTTCAGTGTACTCGATTACTCTTTCAAGCACCTATGTGTTTGTCTTAGTGTCCAACACTAAATGACTTGAGACTAGTCATACTCACGCTTGAGTTGACATAACACATACTAACCTTAGAGGATTGTCAATGCCTAATTGGCAATCCTATGGCTAGGAACGTTTTAGGAATGAACATAAGAGAAAGGTCTCTTTAATCTAACTTACTTAAATCACTTCTCTCTTAGATCAAATACATTCCTTGGATTCCCTTATTGCTTAAACACATGGTACAATAAATAGTGATTAACAATAAGCTTGGCCCTTCATTAAACATATAATAGTTTAATACAATAAGTATTCCAAAAGCTATTACATCAAATGAGTGGCTTTGTGGGCATACTTCCAATAAGACAACCTTGCCAACCTCTACCTGATGTCACTGCCAAAGTCAACCTTCTAGAAGCTTGTCCAAGGAATTGGTATGCATAACTATTCATATGTAATGCTTATAGTTCTCATTTGGAAATTCTATCAAACTCAGGGGGGTATCCAGAAGTATACTCACTTGATCTTAATATACTCTTTTTCCCTACGATTAGGAGCATTTTTCACATTGGGTTTTTGCTACCTAACTAGGTTTTGATAAAGCACCCACCTTAGGCTGATCATACACTTGTGAGCTTTTTTTCTACTTGCGTTCAAAAGATGTATAGTTTTGACTTAATGCAACTACCCACTTTTCTCCTTAGCTTATGGGTTTTTCTCCCACCTTGGGTTTTACCAGAGCAAGGTTTTATGAGTTTTACCTTTTATGCATTATTCCGTTGATTTGAGACTTATATTCGATCATTTTGCCGACGACTTCATCAATTGTACTTACTTCATCGCTGAAGACCTAATGCGCCATTTAGTTAAGTATTTACACACTTAAGGGGGAGTGTTGCAGTCCTATTAGATTAGGAATGTGATTGTGTAAATCACAGTGTATTTAGGGATATCTTTGAATATTCCCTTTAGTAGTTAATATCCTATTAGAGTTGTAATCCTAAAAGGGTAAGGAATTAATGTCATATCCTAGTCTCGACTCCGTCGTAGCACGATATTGTCCGCTTTGGGCACCATTCCCTCAAAGATTGTTTCTAGGAATTTAGATGAGAACTTCCTAGTAGGTCAACCATCCTAGGATTGCTCTTGCTTAAAGTCACTTAACTTCAGAGTTCCGATGAAACCTGAAGCCAGTGAGTTCCCAAAAGCCCTCATGCTATAGGAGGTAGGCATGTACATATAAGGCACATCACCCCTTCTCCGTTGGTCGATGTGTGATGTTACAATCCACCCCCTTTAGGGGCCCGATGTCCTCATTGGCACACTTTCACCGAACGGCAGAGTGGCTCTTATACCATTTAGTCACATCTCATTTTTTGATTCCCTTGTAGCATGATATTTGGGCCCCAACCACGCCATCACGGTATTGCTTCTAGGAACTCAGACGAGAACTTTTGTAACATCCCACATCACCCAAGTGAGTGGATCCTGTAAGCTTTATATGTATATTCGCATCTCTACCTAGCATGAGGCCTTTTGGGAGCTCACTAGCTTTAGGTTCTATTGGAACTCCGAAGTTAAGCGAGTTCGCACGAGAGTAATCCTATGATGGGTGACCCACTGGGAAGTTCTCATCTGAGTTCCCAGAAACAAAACTGTGAGGGTGTGGTCGGGGCCCAAAGCGGACAATATCGTGCTACGGTGGAGTCGAGTCTAGAATGTAGTGGGGGCCAGGGCTAGGATGTGACAATTTGGTATTAGAGCCAATCCTTAGCCTGAAGTGTGCCAATGAGGATGTCAGGCCCCTAAGGGGGGTGGATTGTAACATCCCACATTGCTCAGGGGAGTGGATCCTGTAAGCCTTATATGTATATTCCCATCTCTACCTAGCTCGAGGCCTTTTGGGAGCTCACTGGCTTTGGGTTCTATCAAAACTCCGAAGTTAAGCGAGTTCGTGCAAGACCAATCCCATGATGGGTGATCCGCTGGGAAGTTCTCATGTGAGTTCCCAGAATCAAAACCGTGAGGGCGTGGTCAGGGCCCAAAGCAGACAATATAGTGCTACGGCGAGGTCGAGCCCGGGATGTGGTCCGAACCCAGGCCGGGTTGTGACAACTTCCCAATGGGTCACCACCTTAGGATTGCTCTCTCCCAAACTCGCTTAACTTTAGAGTTTCTATGGAACCCACAACCAGTGAGTTCCCAAAAGGCCTCGTGCTATAGGTTGGACCTTTGAAATTTGATCCAACAGCTAAAGTTATTATACCTTTGTTTGGGCCCAAGTTTTTAGGGTCAACAACCTTTTAAAGTGGACCCCTATTTATAGTCATTGGATCAAATTTTAAAGACCCGGATCCCTTGGTTTAGTGGATTTGATGGAAGGGATCTGGAGATGATCCGTTCCCGAGTTAAACACTCAATTAAATTCTTATTTATAATAAAATAATCTAAAATGGTGATGTGAAAATAACTCAAGACTTCAATCAAAAGTTTAAAAGAGTTTTTCATCATCATTAAGAATTAGAACCTAACTTTTCCCTTTATTTATTATTTTTGCATAACTTTCCTTGTTGACAAAGTCAACTTGACCAATGAAAATGTCATCATTAAGAATTAGAATCTAACTTTTCCCTTTATTTATTATTTTTGCATAACTTTCCTTGTTGACAAAGTCAACTTGACCACTACCAGCTGACAAGTGAATACCTGTCATTGCCATTTGTTTCTATCTCAGAGTCCTCATTGACCGCATTGACCAAAGTTGTATCCCATATATCACATGGATCCATCTGAAAACAAGAAGTTGGGTACGAGATTATGTTTAGCTGATGCGGCCCGCAAGGTCAAATATTGAACTTATAAACGGTCATCGTCGACTTTGTCTTCATTTTCTGGCACGGATACGACGAGGATTTTTACTTTTTCTTTCCTTCAAGTCTTGCATTCACATTTCATAATCGAAAACTCGTGATTTTGCCTCCTACTTGCTAACATCTTATTGGTCAAGTTTCTCCTCTTTTGCTTTTTTGTTTTGTTGTTGGTGAAACTTGAATTATGAAAAATCAAAAACTTAATTGCGAGCAGAAGAATAAGTACTCTTAATTACTTGCGTGATAAGCCATTTATATTCATTACTCCAATAAAGAATGTGAGTGGTTTTGATTTAAAAAAAAAAAAAAAGTGATTGACTGTCATCACATCTTTTGACAATAGTAGTTGCATCAGGACTAAAATGTACATCAACTTGCTCCAAATCAAAGAATAATCACCTCATAACCTATTTCGGTTATCACTAATAAAAAATTTGCATCAACTCAAGCATATCATGTTGCTCCACCATTCTCGAAAGAGGGTAAATATGAGCCTAAGTTTCGAAATAAAAACTATTAAGTAAAGGTTATGCAGCGGTTATGTTTCAGTTTACAAGAGTTAAACATATATCAAACGAAATTGAATAGTACATTTGTGGATTACTTTTGCATGTTGGTTATCAATTGTTATATATGAAGGAAGTTAAGGTTCCATCATAAAACCAATTAGCAATAGGGGGAGTAGTCTAACCTCTTATAACTTATAAGCTAATGCAAGGTTCGAGAGGCGGCGCTGAGGGGGAGCGAAAGGTGCAATCGCACAAGGCCCCCAAATTTTTTTGGTATCTTATATTTATATGTAATTATGTTATATATTAAAAAAAAATACTTTTATTAGCATTTTAAAATCTTATAGTGCACTTTTATAAGTGTAAATTTTTTTTTCTTTCTAAATATAAAAATTTGGAGTGCACAATGAGATATTAGGAGTGCTAATAACAACACCTTAAAAAAGATTTTCTTTTCAATTTTATTAATTATATAATAATACTATATTTTCAAATGAAACTCTAAAGTTATAGTTTTTGAAGCTTTTTTTTTTCATTATTTGATTGCTTAAGATTGAATTGTTTTTTTTTATTATTTAGTGAAGATTATGTTTGTAACTCTTTTTACTTATTTAATGACACTTGTAAACTTACAATCGGTGAGTCCTAAAGGTTGTTTTAATTTAAGTTATTTTTTTCTTGTACCAATATATTGTCATACTTTAAAAAAAAAAAAAAATATATATATATATATATATATATATATATCTTAAAAAGTGACCCTTTTATAAATTTCGCACAGGGCCCCCGAAATCTTAAAGACGGCCCTGCAAGGTCCCTTCTCCCATCAATGTGAGATTCATTTTCAACACGCCCCCTCACGTGTGGCGAATTTTCAAGGCTAACACGTGGACAACACGACGAGGTGACATCAAGCGCGTGTGATCGTTTGGCTTCACACGTGAGCTAACATGCTCTGATATAATGAAGAAAGTTGAGATTCCACTACAAAATCAATAAGCAATATGAGAAGTAGCTCAATCTCTTATAAATCCATGCAAAGTCCCTCATCTCATCGATGTAAGACTCATTCTCAACAATATCTTCATAACCGTATGCAATATTTTATAAATTTTGAAGATTACAAGCAATTGGTTTGAAAAAAAAAAAAAAACTTTTAAGAAATCCCTTCTAGTAACACAATGGCGCGTCCGTTTTTTCGGATAATATTTTCCTTGTCCTCAAACCATAAAGCTGAATAAGTGACAACGGCTGTATATAAGCCTCACACGGCATTCGAAAAAAATAGTAAAGCCACCCATCTTCCCAATTTATTAGAGAGAGAGAAGAGAGGGAGAGAGATGGGCAGCTATAGCATTTCCAAGTTGGCGATGGCCACGGTGGTTGTGTTGTTAGGCATGGCAAGTTTGGTCGGACGGTCAGCCGGTCAAACGACGCCTGCTTGTGCTCAGGACCTGATACCCTGCGCCGACTACCTCAAGAACACAGCTCAGCCAGCTGCCAACTGCTGCACCGCCATCAAGCAGGCGGTGGCCAACCAGTTTGCGTGTCTCTGCAACCTCTTTTTCACTCCCGGACTCCTTCAGAGTTTTGGCGGCAACGCCACTTCCGGTCTCAGAATCGCCACCGCTTGCGGCGAATCAATGGATACCGCCAAATGCAAAGGTACTATTGCTCAGTTCGCCATTTGTTTAATTTGGATTTTCTCAACTCGCCCGTTTCAGATCTTGAAGTAATATGTTTTTGTGGTTTGATTTTGGCAGCTGCCATAGGTGCTCCTACACCAGAATCCACACCTGGAACCCCAGGTACCAAACTTTTCTCTTTCATATTATCATAGTTACAAAAATTGTTTTATATCAATATTTAAATTTCAAAATTCAATTGGGTAATTTAAAATTCTGGTAGCAGAGATGGGATTTGTATTTAATCGCTGATAATCTTGTGTGTTTAAAACTGAGATCATAAACTGCGCTAAGGCATCCCGATACAACTAGTCCTGATGATCGGATCAGAAATACATGATTTTAATTCCAATCCAAAAAGTATTGGAAATGCATATCCTTTTCAATTTCAGAATTTCTATTTTGATAAACGATAGATTTGATAGATTAGTAGATTTTAGATTAGGGAGTCGACGGAGTTTGAACTCACACTATGATGTAAGGGCAACACTCCTCTATGTAGTTGTGGTAGAGGCTCACTTGCATTTTCAATTTTAGAATTGGAATTTCGGAGTTCCTACAGTTGCCAAATTCAGTATTTTTCAAAATAGAATTATGTCAGAATTTGAAAATTATGCGAGTTATCTCTCTACATAACAGAAAATTACATAGTTCTCTAATTCTCTTTTTTTTTTTGTATTTAATGTATTCAAGGGAATTGTAATTAATAAAATAGTTACATATGTCAGTATATTGTATTACAAATCCAAAGTCTATAAGTATAGGTTAAGTGTATGCAAGAGTCATGCAAGTTTCGAAATTTCTTAACGGATTAGGAAATATTAAATACATTCCGATTCCTATCTAGTTTTTTTTTTTTTTTTTTTTTTTTTTTTTTCTTTCAGATTTTGAAATTTCAGTTTCGAATTTGAACCGGAGGAAATATTTAAGAATATTTTAAGTCAAAATTAGTCGTAACCAGATATTGCTATCAAAGTTTCACCCTATCATACACCAAATAATTTTTCGATATGTTAATAGCGGTTTGAGTTCATAGTCAATGATAATTATGAGTGTTGAGAGAGTTTTTTTTCGGTCTGTCTTGGTTGCTAAGTTTGTATTTTTTTATTCAACAAGTATCGTCCATAGGACTTAAAATTTTAACTTTTTCCATCTAATGATAAGTGTCATTAGAAAACATAATCATTAGAGTAAGAAGAAGAATGTTATACATACAATTAAAATATCTTAAAAAATATCGATTTATATGGCACGCTTACACTTTTACTTCACATGCCACGTAAGATAGCATTATTTAAAAGTTACACTCCCTAGCCCTGTTTTACAAACTTTTATGTTTTGTTTGTTATAAATATGTCAAAGTTAGAGAGATAACCTTTTTAGTAAATGATGGAGCAAAGCAGGTGTAAAATGTCATACTGAAATTATAGCATTAGGGGATGACAAATAAAAGAGGGAGGAATAGATGATGTTATTGAGCTTTCTTTCTTTCTGTATGCTTTCTCTGTATACACATCGATGGCAGTAGGAGTGCTCTATTTATAGAGCGAATCCATACGAACAAATTCTTAAAGTTTGAAATTTACAACTCATAGCTTTGAAAATACAACATTTTGTTTCCAAAGTCTTCATCATATTTGTGTGGGTATTGACAAAGAACTTATGTGGGCATTCATCTGATGGTTTCATCAGCTAATGTTTTCAACTGCCAATATTGACTGTCAATGGTTTCAACACTCCCCCTTGGATGCCCACATATCAACATCAGTTGCCTTGTTAAAACCTTGCTTGGAAAAACCCAGTGGTAAAAAAACCATAGCGAAGGAAAAAGAGTACAACTTTACCTGAATTATTGATATAGTGTTAAGTATGCTTATGTTGCCTCGTTAAAACCTTGATAGGAAAAACCTAGTGGGAAAAATCCTAATCAAAGGAAAAAGAGTACATGCATGTATCATGGAAACTCCCCCTGATTCCCCGTTCTCCAAATTTAGCTGTTTGGTAAGTCGACGTAATCCGATACTTTGCACTAACTTCTGAAATGTGCATTTTCGTAGAGATTTGGTGAACAAATCTGCCAGATTTTTATTAGAATGGATTTGTCTGACTTCAATAACTTTAGCCTTCTGAAGCTCATATGCATTGAAAAACTTTGGAGATATGTGTAGTTTTATCGCCCTTGATGAATCCTTCCTTCATTTGGGCAACACATGCTGCATTATCTTCATGAATGACAGTTGGATTGTCTGTCTTCGAAGTTAGACCACATGAATTCCGGATATGATGGATCATTGATCTTAACCAAGAACATTCACTACTTGCTTTATGTAAAGCAAGTATTTCTAAATGATTTGAAGATGTAGCAACTAATGTTTGCTTTGTTGAGCACCATGAGATTGATGTATCTCTATTCTTGAACACATATCCAGTTTGTGAGCAGGCTTTATACGGATCAGAGAGGAAACCAGCATCTGCATATCCAACAAGGACCTAGTCATTTGTGGAGTTCTTTAAGTAGAAGAGACCCATATTTGTTGTCCCACGAAGGTATCGCAATACGTCTTTGACACCCTTCCAATGACGGATTGTTGGAGCAGAGTTATACTTGGCTAACAAGTTGACTAAAAAAGCTATATCTGGTCTAGTACATTGTGCTAAATACAACAAAGCACCTACTGCAGTCAAATATGGTACTTCTGGACCAAGGACCATTTCATCATCTTCTTTTGGACGGAATGGATCTTTCTTAATGTCTAGAGAACGAACGACCATTGGCATGTTAAGTGGATAAGCTTTGTCCATGCCAAATCGCTTCAGGATTTTTTCAATATAAGCTGATTGGTAGACAAAATTCCACTATCACAATGCTCGATCTACAGGTCGAGACAAAATTTCGTTTTTCCAAGGTCTTTCATTTCAAATTCGCTTTTCAGATATTCAACAGTTTTATTGAGCTTTTCAGGAGTGCCAACTAGGTTCATATCATCAACGTATACTGCCACTATAGCAAATCCAGAATTGAATTTCTTAATGAACACACAAGGGCAAATGACATTGTTGATGTATCCTTCTTTGATCAAATACTCACTGAGACGATTATACCACATTCGTCCAGATTGTTTCAGTCCATACAATGATCGCCTTAATTTGATCGAGAGTATACCTTGTGATTTGTTAGCTGTTTCAGACGACTTAAGTCCTTCTGGGACCTTCATGTATATGTCAGTATCTAATTCTCCATATAGATACGCAGTGATGACATCTATAAGTCGCATGTCAAGCTTTTCTGAAACAGCTAAACTTATTAAGTAACGAAACGTAACTGCATCCATTACAAGAGAGTATGTCTCCTCATAATCAATTCTAGGTCTTTGTGAAAAACCTTATGCAACGAGTCGTGCTTTATATCTTGCAATCTCGTTTTTCTCATTGTGTTTCTTTGTGAATACCTATTTGTAACCTACGGGGTTTACACCAGACGGGGTTTGGATTACTGGTCTAAAAACACTTCGCCTTTCCAAGGAATTTAATTCTGCCTAAATTGCATCTTTCCAATTAGGCCAATCTTGACTTTGTTTGCACTCATCAACATAGTGGGGCCCAAGATCATCATAGCTTTGAAAATACAACATTTTGTTTCCAAAGTCTTCATCATATTTGTGTGGGTATTGACAAAGTACTTATGTGGGCATTCATCAGATAGCCGATGGTTTTGTCAGCTAATGTTTTCAACGGCCAATATTGACTGCCAATGGTTTCAACCTTGTTTTTATTTTATTTTTTATTTTTTGGTTGTTTTACAATTCCTTGTGTGATTGGATTAGTAGAATGGTAAGGCAAAATGAGTGGTGGCTGAGGTCTAAGGGCACTTGGACATGCCATGTGTTTCAGTAATTTGTTGACTTTTGTTGGTGCCTCCAAGTTTTACTGCCCTATTGAAATTTCAAAAGCAAGAAAATAGGTATATATATCCTTAATTTTTTTAAACTTTTAACATTTTTAATGTCCACGTGATACCAGATTGACATGTAAAACCCAGAATTATGATTTTTTGTATTAGACTTGGACGAAAAACTTGATGTATGAAATGTTGAAAATCCAAGAAACTTCAAAGTAATAAATTGATATTTAACCCTATATTTTTATTTTCCACATCTTTTGGCATGTTTCTTGGGCATCAATCAAGAGTCAACGGTAATGTCATACCTTTTCATTGAGTTGAAAATAATAAAATCTTATGAATTTTTAGCAGTTAACCAAGTGGTAAATTTAGCGTGAAATCTAGCATATGGTGTTATAATACTGTGATTAATGTTTGCAGGAACGCCGGGAAATGACGGTAGCGGTTCCGGCAAGGCTGAGTGGACTGCATTTTCTGCTCCGCTCTTATTATGGGCTTCTGTCATGTTATATTAGTCCTTGTTCATCAACTTATTTGAGTATGTTACTCGGGGTCACGATTAATTCACAGATTTGGAGATGTGTTATTTGTTTCGTCTCGCTTCAGATTAATTTTTTCGAATAGCACTTTACTTTTTTACCTTAGATCATATATGTTGGTCATTTTCTTACTCCTCTTATGTTGTCATTATTTGTTTGTTTGTTTGTTTGTGTTTTTTTTTTTTTTTTTTTTTTGTGTTGCTTTGAATCTTTGTAGACTTTGGAAGTAGTGGGGTGAGCTTTGTTCTAGTCTTACATTCATGCACTATTCTAAAAATTCCCGCCTAGCGCCACAGCTGGTCACCGCCTTGATTAATCACTAGGCGTCACTGTCCTAATTAATCACTAGGCATTTGAAAATTAAGAAATGATGCCTATACTTGCTTAAACGCCTCCTATAACCAGCCTAGGTCGCAACTCTCACTTATACAGAAAATACATAACTTTTATTTTGCATTTTTTTTTTCATAAATTATAAAAGACTTGTTAAATACATAGATGAACACATATTATATGTTTGTTCCTTATGTTTCCATTATGTTCTAATATGTTATAATATATAGATATATATATATATATATATATATATATATATCATTCTATTTCTTAGTTCATATATCCTAAAGAAATTATGTATTTTTTTAATAAAAGATAATATTTACGTTAAAGGAGTGAGATAGTAGGCTAAGCCTTATAATGAGCTTGCCATAATAATATGGTTCAATTTTGCATTTGGCGAGAATCGAATCTAACACCTCTCGCTTACAAGTGAAAAAGAATATCACTAGACCATAGTACTAAGTGGTCGAAATTATGTATTTTTTAAATATAAGCAAACACTTATTTATATGATAAATAATTAATTTACTTATATTCGTCTAGGCCCCTGCCTTGCCGCCTAGGCACTAGGCCTCAGTCCGTCGCCTGGCTAACGCCTAAGCTCTTTTAGAACCTTGCATTCATGTGATTTCAGGAAACCACATTCCATTATGTCATTTATAAAGTAGGGATCTAAACCAAACACGTCGCGTTTAGAGTTAAACAAGATACAGATAACCTTCCTTCCTCAAGTGGAGACGAATATTCTTTTATACCAGAATATGGCTTTCCCCTTCTTTTAGAATTTGGACTATCCGACCTCTCTTTTAAGCTGTTCTTAGCCATCTATATAGAAAATGGCATTACTTAAATGGTTTGTCAAGAAATATGGATTCTAGAGGAAATGACTTGACTAATTGATCCATGTAAAAAATTATACGAAATGAGCATAAATTCTTGGTAGTTCACACACGAAATTGATGTGATCATCTTTGTTTTTCAAGTTTAAACGTCTCTTTGGCTTATCTTGACACACCCCAAACTGGAAAGTTCACCTGAATTTTGAATCGAGTTGTGCTGGCCAACACCAGGAAGGTGACAAAACCATAAAGTGTAGTGACGTGGAAAATGTAAGTAAATTTAAAACTAGAAGTGCCTAAATGGAAGAGTGCGCATGTGAGCGGGAATCAACCCATTTCACATGTGATGCTAGAGCATAAGGAAAGTACAGTTGTTGACCCTAAAAACTACCTAGCCTACGTGGCGCGTAGGCCGAGTAATTAATAAGCTAACTACATCTTTCGGTCAAATGCGGGGCATGCAACTCGTCGGTCGAACTAGGTCGGGGAGTAAAATGAATGTTGATGTTTGTGTTGGACGCGCTGCTAACTTCTGGGTCTTGGGATTGTAGCAGAGGGAGGAACTCGTCTCGGCCCTTGGGTTCTAGAGCCTGAAGACAAGGCTGCTAGTTTCTTCGAAGTTCACAAATCGTTGGCGCTGGGTTCGGCCTCAGTAATTATATTTGTGAGAATATAAGTACGTGCGAATTGTTACCAGACTATACGGAAACAAATACTCAAAAAAGATAAGTGTCTTGATTGTAAATGTGGTTCGACTGTCACAATGCCGAACTCTAAAATATGCTTGCGAATATCCAATCATAAAATAAACTCGGCTTTCAATGTACCGAGCGTGGTAACACCTCACTTTGTTGAGAAGGCTGATGAAATAACCTCTTCCAATAAGGACTTGGAAATCCTTGTTGACCGAGACTTGGATAGATAGCCAGTCGGTCTCAAAGCAGTGTTGTTTATCCAAACTGAAGATGCTCTTCAGTCGACTGATTCTACTGTTCCAGTGCTGTTTATCCAAACTTAAGATGTTGCTGGTTGCCTTCATAGTGTTGTTTATCTAAACTGAAGATGTCTTGGCGGGGAAAAAGAAAATAAAAATCTCAAGTGTTTGAAAGGTGTGCACAGGGCAGTTGTGTGTTGAATTGGAGGGCCCATTTTTCACGTTGTTGATGCTTATGTATTTATAGAACATATTTACCTTGGCATAGCTTGACAATTTTGCAGAGCTCATTCGCAACTCAAACTAGCTAAACTGATCCATGCCATAGGAGACACAACCAATTTTTGTACAGAGTCTGTAGATGTGTGTGAGAGTTATCCCTACAAACCTTTAGGAGACATAACTCCTACTAGGGACACCAAGAGGTTTAAAGGCTTGTTGCACATGCTCAATGCAATTGTTTAGCCATCAAAAATGGTCTAGTTAGATAATTTTTTTTTTGTTTTGTTTGCTTTTAGTTTTAGTTTTGCTCCAACACTAGCAAAAATCAAGTTTCGGTGTATTTGATAACTCATATATTTCATACATTTATATCATCCATTCCTAGTCTCCTTGTGATATTTATTAGTTAAAGTGCTTAAGTTTTACCCTCTTTTGTGTTGGTGTGCAATTAATCATATTGTAGAGTCCATTTTAGGGAAATGAGGCAAAATGGTGTTGAAAGTGGAAATTAAATACAAATGTTGATGTTCAGAGAGAATCAAAAGGGGATAATTGAAGATGGTGCTGAGTTGAGGTCTAATTAATCTTTAAAGATGAATTTGGCAATTTAGAAGACTAATAGTAGAAAAAGAAAAATGTGCAAGAAAAATGTTCAATTATTAGGATATTTTGGCATTTTGTAACAACCTATTTTACCTTGTTACACAATAAGAACCAAACCTTGTTCACGCTTGGAAGCCCAAAGGTTAACAACGTCTTCTCCCAATGACAAAGGACTCCAATCGTCCTTCTCCCTCCCGCTCACACTACCTCTCTGATAACACAATATGTATATATTTATATTACCCATATTTCCTAAGTTTTATGCTATGTTTTATTGTGAAATTGGTTGTTTGATGTGTTTAGTGCATATTTTGTAGATAATGGGCCGTAGAGAAGACTTTGGAGTCTTTTGGTGATTTCAAGACTAAAAGGGATCAAAACTGAGAAGAATTGAAGCCAAGAAGCATTCCAACAATCATCAAATGTTAATTTGTTCAATCCATAACTTAATGGCTACTGTGTGAAAACTATAACTGGAGCTGGAAGGTGCTGTGCAGAACTGTCATTTGTGTTGGGACGTAAAAAATTCATCGGGATGAACTGGGTGTTGTGTCATATATGTATGGAAAGATCTGGATGTCTAGTATCGGCAGAAGTTTACAGATCATGATTTGGATGCTTCTAGAAGAAGTTATACCTATTTTAGTATGAGAAGGTCAGTTCAGGAATTCTACGCGGAAGTGGAGTCGAGTTTGGATTAGGAAACCGAAGTCTGATGATGTTGGGATTCCTGTTTGGGCTGGGATTCAACAATTTCGGCAAACCAAGCCTAACAAAACCTACCTATATATTCCTTAGATGTTTATTTAAGAAGGAGGGACGTGAAAAAGAGTAGAGAGGAAAAAGGGTAGTCGCACTTCATCACAGAGGATTGACCTACGGAAGACGCCAATGCCGGGGGGGGGGGGGGGTTCTCCATTATTTGCTTTTACATCTTTTCCGACTTGGTTATCATGATTGTGATAAGATGTCTTATTATAATTTGATGGTCGTGATGAACTAATTCTTTGTTAGGGATCCGATGTAGCCTTCATGATAATTCTATGTCTTAGTTAACTTCATTCTTTTATCAATTCACGGTTTCTAGTTTCGTTCATTGTGCTTATATCATTCTTTATGTTCAGGTTATTGATTAGCTACCTTTAATATGAATTTTTAGATGTATGAGACAAGGTTATAGTAGACGCCATATGCTTAGCCTTGAGATAGCTCTTTTGGATGAATGAATTGTTGTTGATGCATATGCCATGCTAAGACACTTTTTGGTTTTCGTTGTTCTTCTTTTACTTAATGAATTTTTGATTGTTGACTTAGACTAGACGCCATGGTTAAGTTGATGATTAAGAATACTTGGTTACACCCGAACGCCTAACAGATAATCATAATAAAGAGAGAATGAACCCTAGAACCTGAATTGAATTGTTCTTACTAGTTATCTAATGACATAGAAATGGATTGATATGGTGAAAGTCGGATAACTAGTGTTTCAACCTTTGTTTTCAGAAATTATTTACATAAATTCTCTTTAATTTACTGCACTTAAGATTACTTGATCAACTTCTCTTTGGTTAATTATTTGAATTTTGTAGTTTAGTTGTTTTCGTTATTTTAATTCTAGTGGGTACTACAAAATTGGATTTAGTTAGGTGACTTTGCAAATCCCTGTGGGTACGACACTCGTATTTGCTTGCTATACTATCATATCAATTCGTGCACTTGCGAGAAATATAATTTGTTCATCACTCTCCCTCTCCCTCTCCCTATCTCTCTCTCTCTCTCAAACTACCTTTCCTTCTTGCTCAAACAACCATCAACCTAGAGCGGCAATGGCGAGCTCGAAGCAACGATGACGAGCGGCAAAATTGGATAGAAAAGCCCAACGATCTTGAAAAACAAGGAATCGGGTATGTGTTCGAAGAATTACATCTTACTTTTTCTCCATTCTCAATTTATATGTTCAATTTTTATGATGTGGGTAGGGTTTTCTCTTATTAGGGTTTGCTCTTGTCATTGTTAAATTTGTTCGAATTATTTAAAAATTCAATTCAATTCTTTTCAATTCCAATGGAACCGAATGATCCATTCTCTGACGTATTATTTGATAGTAGGCTATTTTCATCCCTTCTGTTATTGTTATTGGTGTTGGTATATCATGGATTGCAGTTGCACGAATTCTGGGTTTTTTGGGTTTTAGTTT